ACCTGTGGCCCTTGGCCTTTCCCCAATGGACTCATTGTCTTCCCCCCCCCCCCCCCCCCCCCCCCCCGCCTCTCTCTCGTTCCCTCATTGGCCTTCATTGGCCACTGCCCCTTCGCCCTGGCACCAGGCAAGGCCCAGCTCAGGTGGCAACTTCGATATTGCAGAGTGGGTGACCTCTTTCACAACTTCCTCCGTTCTCCCTCCCTCCATGAAGGGTTTTCAGTTGGGGGGGGGCTTCCTGCAGAGGGCCCCTCATGTAGGTCTGAGGTCTTGTTCTTGCTCTTTGCCCTCCTTGGATCTCCCCAGCTATACTTGGCAACCCCTGGCACTTCATTGCTGGCACATGTGGGAGGACGGTCTGGAAACTTCCACCAGATTGGCACAGAGTGGTTAAATCATTAGCCACTATCTTGTCTGTACAACAGGAAATCTGCTTTCCTTCCCAATATGGGTCTGGCCAACTGGCCTCCACCCTTTACCCCACGAGGCCCCATGGCAGCTGCAGCCCACCCCACATCATGGCAGCGAACTCTTAAGCAGGCTGAAGGACCTGCATCCACAAGGCGTAAAATAAATCAAAATTGGGAGAGCCGGAGGCATAAATGCAGACTTTGGGTCCTTGGTGGCACCTGGGGCCTCGTGAGGAGGCCTACCTGGACTTCTTGGCTGCACCCATTTGCCACCCAGTCTTAGGACCAGCTGCACACGGGGCCTTCCTGCTGGGGTGCCTGGGCAAGCCAGCCCCTTCCCCTCCAGGTCAGCCTCACCTGTCCCCAGGTGGAGCTCATGAGCTTCCAGTTGCTGTTGATCAAGTCAAGCAAGGTGAGGAAGGCCTCGTCTGTGTATTCGAACCGTTCTCCAAAGACCAGTGAGCAGATGATGTTGGAGCCGGCGCAGCTTAGGAAGAAGGTCGGGTCAAAGGGCCGCCCTGCGAGCATAGAGGGGGGGGGACGGTGAGCCCCCCCCGAGGGCCTTTTATAACATTCCTCCACTCCCCCCCCACCCGGGGATCGCTTCCTGCCACCTGGCCTTTCTCTGGCACAATTCAGAAAAGTTGGCTTAAATATGGCAATGGAATAATTAAGCGAAATAACTCGGCATAACTGGAATCTCTGCCTAGCAGCCTTTCCAACCTGCTACGTGCCAGATGTGGTGCCTGATGCCTCCAGAATCCCCAGAGGCTGTCAGATAAAGGAAGGGCCCGGCACACCTGGAGGAGCCCCGCTTGAGAATGCGGCTGCACCTCCGTTGCCAAGGACCCCCCCCCCTTCCCCCGGCCTCTTCGGCAGAGGGAATTCTTGGAAAATGAGGCACTTTATATTCAGAAAAGGCTGGGAGACCTTCCAGAAGTGTGCAGGGGGGGGGGGACGGGGGGGGACCTGGAAGGGATCCACCTGCTCTAATTGAAGAATCCTCAACAAGCTCAGCGTATTTTCAGCCAGAGAAATTCTCAGCCTCTTTTAAAGTCGGGATCCAGCAGGTGGGATTTTTCTGCCCCCCCCCCCCCCCCGGAGGAAGGCAAGACCCCTTTGCCCCCTGAATGAAGGCGCCGTGTTTGGCTGCTGCTATAAAACATCTGGGAACCAACCGCAGGGGGCTGCACCCCCTCCCCCGAGGCAGCCTGTCCCACCTTACAGCCAAGGGGAGGGAAGGGAGGGGCCAGGGCCCCCCAGCCACCTTGGGTTTTGCGGAACTCGGACACCAGGAACTGGGCCTCCTCCTTGATCCGCTGCTCCATGGACCGCTTCCCCATCCCGAAATTCTTCAGGGTCCCGATGGCAAACCTGCGCAGCTGCCTCCAGCGCTCCCCTGTCCCGTACACGATGCCTGGGGGTGGATGGGGGGGAGAGACGGAGCAACATACCTGAGACCAGGTCCAGCCTGGCCCGCCCAAAGTCCACCACCTCCCCCCCCTCAAGGCTCTTCCCAGCCCAGAGCCCGGCAGGCCAGGAGAATCAGAGACAGAAATCCCCTTTATTTTGAGACCATTATTTTATATTTTGAGCTATGGCTCACTGCCCCCCCCCCTCGCCCCTGACTGGCTCTTCTCAAAGCCAAAATTCAGCTCTGGAAGCCCTGAAAAATATATTGAATTGAACGCGGAGTCATCGCATTGCTCTCCGAGTCATTCCAACATCCAGGGTTGAAGAGTAGCCTCAGCAGCAGCAGCAGCTTGCTCCTCCTCCTCCTCCTCCTCCTCCTCCTCCTCTCCTTCCGGCGTCTCACCGTTTCCTTTGCTCCACATCTGGACAGCAGGAAAGTCCCCCCGGCCACTGAACTCCTCGGCTTTGTCGATCAGGGCCTCCTTCAGCACCTGGTAGCCCGAGAGGACCACGCAGGGCCGGGAGCCCAGGTGGACGGTGTACAGGGGCCCGTAGGTCTTGCTGAGCTGGGAGAAGAGGGGGGGGGGGCTGGTCAGGGCAGGGCTCCTTCTTCGGGGGATGAGGGGGGAGGGGGGCTCCCTTAGCATGGAACAAGGACCACCAGCTCAGTAGGGATTTGGGCTTTCAAAGCCTCCTCTCTTGAACGGGGGAGGGGTTAGCAGGCAGAGCTGGGCAGCTGGGGATGTTTTTCCCCCCCCATTTTTTTTTCCATTTTTAAACAAAAAAGAAAAACATTTAGAAATTCCCACCCATCATACAGTTGTGGCAGTTTATTGGGCAGGGATGTTGATGGAGCCAGAAGGGCCAAGCAACCACAGAGGAGGGATGGAGGCTGCCTCCCCTTTCTTGCCTTCTGCCCGTAATGCCAGAGTCACACAGGCTGCCCAGCGTCTCTTGGGGGGAGACCCTCAGTCCCAAGGCTCAAGGCTCCCTCCCTGCTTGGCCCCCCCTTGCCTGGCTGCTACTTTCCCAACAGGAAAGGCCCCTCCCTTAGAGCTCCCCTTTAATCTCCTCTAATTCCATGTGTGCCCACAGACCCTCTTTCCTGGGGGGGGGGGGAGCCGTGTCTTCCTTTGATCTAAAAGCCCTGCCGTTGTCTGGAACGAAGGCTGGGGGAGAAAAGAGGCCAAGCCTAGAATGGGGCAGTGGGCTCTGCTCAGGGGAGGACCCTCCCAGCTGCTGGGTCGAGCCGTGTGCTCTCAGGCCCTTGGGGAGCCTGCCCAGGGCCACGTCCTTGAGGCTCAGCTCCAGCTGCTCTGGGGGGCCCGGCAGACGTTTCCCAAGGAGAGAAGCTTGAGCTGCCCCACCTCTCGGCCCCATTTGCCGCTTCTGACCAAGGCAAGGAGGGGCTGGCCTGATGCCGGGCAGTGCTCTGGGCTGGAAGGGAAGGCGGACCCTTCCCTGGGTTTGGGGAGACTCCGTTGGCTCAGTGGGGACCCACATTGAGGGAAAGGGGGCCCTGTCCAGTGTCCCAGCCCCCTGGGCTTGTCTTGCTTTCCTCTCTGCCCCCGGGTCCTCTAAATATGACGGACGGACGGACCGATAGACAGATTGATCAATAGACATAGGTAGATGATAGGCACATACACAAACGAACGAACCCTTTTGCCCCCCACGCTCCGCATCCCCCCACCTGCCCTGACTCACTTCCCTGAGGGAGGGGATCAGCTCCTTCACGTCCACCTGGAGCATGTTGCCGAAGAAGGGGAGAGGGGGAGGGCCCGGTGGGAGGCCGGCGAACCTCTTCTTGGCTGCGAAGTGGCGGAAGAGGAGGCACGAGGCGGCCATGGCCAGCAGGATGCCGAAGGGGCCCCCCAAGTCCGTCCGAGTGGCAGCCGGGATCTCCATGGCTGCTGCGAGTCCAGCTGGGGCTGCCAAGGCTGAGGCCAACCAGGCAGAATATATACGGTCAGGGCTCCAAAGTGCCCACTTGCGCCAGTCCCACCAGAAGTTGGGCCACAGCCTGAGGCTCGGCCGATGTCAGCTGGGTGGTGCTGGGCTGAAGGAGGCCAATTCCGCTGGGGATCCTCGTGACTCTTTCCAAAGTCCCCCTTTAAAGAAGTGGCTGGTTTTCCAGGAAAGCCTTGGCACTTTTCCTTTCCCTGCTTGTGGAATCCGGCAGCATCCGAGACGATTCCGCGCCCGCTGCCTTGGAGCTTGACCAGGCACACCCAAGGCTGAAATTAAGCCACCATCGTCACCCAGATTTCTCAAGCCATGTTTGCACTTGGCTTTGCAGTTCCAGAGAGCTCTGGCTGGGGCTGCTCCGAACATTGGCCAAACATTAACCCAGCCAGCTCCAGGACAGCCACTGCATGGATGTCTACACTCCTGTTGCGCCAGGCGCTGGGTGCAAAGAGCCCGCCTGCCCCCCATTCTGCCCTTCCTGCCCCCTTGGGGCCTTTTCTCTCCAGCAAAGACCCTTCCAGGCTGCGAAAAGTCTCTTTCTCCTGGACCATGGCCAGTCTGCCCCTCCATGACTCTGTTTGAAAGTGGGCTGTAAAGACAAGAGGATGGGGCTTGAGCCCCCAACTAGCCACTGCATTCAACTGGTGGCCCTGGCAGCCCAGCCCCCAACCCTACCCTGAACTCTGGCCAGAGGCTCAGAGAAACAGGCTGGCCAAGTGGCGCTCGGCTCTCTTCATCAGGAATGAAGCAGGTGGCAGGAACCCAGACGGTGATAGGAAGAAGGCCAGCACCCCAAAGATGCTTTTCCAAAAAGCAACTGGACTTTCTTGATTTTCAGTTGTGACCAAAGAACTGAAGAAGCTTCTTGGATGAGAAGGGAAATGTTTTCAAGGAAAAGCCCAGGAAAGGCCTGTTGCCTTTTAGAAACCTTTGGGATAACCATGACTTGTCCTGGAGGAATGAGAATCTCCCTAGACGCCAGTGGTGCATGTGTGTGTGTGTGTGTGTGTAAAAGAATACAAGGAGTGAGGAAGAGGCTGCATCAGCCTCCATTGGAATCGTCCCTCTTTCCCTGCTCTGCTCAGTTCCCCCTCTGGGCTCTTCTTTTCTTTCTCCCATTCTTGTTTTATTTGCTTTGTTTATATAACATATAAAAATTCAGTTTCAATCAAACTATGCGTTGTCTAGGCACAATTATTTTTAGGCAATCATAATCAAGATGTTTACAGTCATATTCATCACAATAATATTAATACTATAATAATAATAATATTTCTTATTTAACAAATCTCTTTTATAACACTGATCCTTTTTATATCCCCATATTACTAACTTCTGTTTTCATTATCCAGCCTTTGGTAAAACAAGTCCCATATCAAGAAATATTCAGTTTCTTCTTCATCCTTAATAGCAAGCATAAGTCCATCCATCTCTGCACATTCTAATATTTTCCAAATTACAGTCTCATCTGTCGGGATCCCATTGTTTTTCCATTGTTGTGCAAATATAATTCTGACTGCAATTAATACATATAAAATCAAATGCATATTCCTTTTATAATATTTTTCCAGCAGGATGCCCAATAAAAATATTTCTGGTTTCAAGTCTATATGCTGCTTTATCATTTTTTCCAACCAAGCCAATTTTGGGGGGGCTTTTGGGCACGTCCACCACATATGATAATAGGAACCAGGTATCTGGTTGCAACATTTAGAGGCTCTGTCTTTAAACATTTTTGCCAGTCTTGTTAGTGCAAAATGCCATTTATAAAGCATTTTATACAAATTTCCTTTATATACAGTTGAGATTGTCAATTTAACATTTCTATCCCACAGTTTCTGCCATTTATCCAGTTCTATTGCATATCCAACATTTTTAGCCCAAACTATCATTGTCTCCTTTACTTGCCCACTTTCCAGTTTGATACTTAATATGTTTTCTTCACCTGTTTTTCATCCATTCCCGTTAATATCTGGTCCAGTTCTGTACATTCTTTATTAAAGCCATACACTTTAGCCTCTTTCTCATGTGGAGATTGTATCTGCCTTCGTGGCCACCGGCCGATGTCCGTCCCTGAGCCGAGTTGTTTCCATGACCCAAATCAGGTGACCTCCTGAGCTGCAGACCTTCTCCGTGGCTGCTGCTCCGTTCCAGGCAGCCGAAAAGGAGCCTCCTCCTTCTGCACTGCCAGAGCCCAGAGGAGGCTCCTCGTGCTCTGCCTGAATTGGCTGCGGTCCTTTCCTTCTGGGAGATGCGACTTCTGGCCTTTTTCCAAGTGGGGGACAAGCCAAGGGTTTGTGGATCATGGGTTGTGGAACTCCAGCGGATGACTTAGCCGTTTTGGGCCCTTATGGGACAATGCAGTTTATTTCTTTGGACTTAGGAAGCAACGGAATCGTGGAAGTTTCGTTTCGGTATTCATGGTTTAAGATTTGCCCTGTTGTATGAATTCGGCCTTGGGGTTGTGGTTTCCTTAAAAATAAAATCGGTTTATTCATCTTAAGGAATCTCTCTAACCTTTGCTCTTAGCAAAATTTGCCAAGATTGAATTAAAAAAATCACTTTGACCAAATGACCCCCTCAGTGAGTGGACCCTCCTTCTCCTTGCCACTGGGCTGGATGAGATGACGTCCCCAGGTGGCTGGCCAAAATTGAGGTGCGTATCTCGTTAAAGGATAACCAACGTGGAAAGTGCCAGTAGGTCTCTTCTGTCCGTGAAGCAGCAGAGGCTTCCGGCTGCCTGAAGCCACCCTGGGGGTCCCAGCAGGAGAGGGAGCTTGTGGTTCAATCTGCAGCCCCTGAAGGGAGCTGAAAGTCGTAGCCGGATGGATGTAAGCATCACCTTTTCTTTCCCTCCTCTTCTCTCTTTTCCCAGCCAACGGCTGCCATTATGGCCACTGTGTTTCTCTCCAGATTCCCAGGCTCTCTAACATGGAGCTGGTCCCTCCTTCACCGTTGGTGTTGCTGCTGCTGGTGCTGCTGCTGCTGGTGCTCTGGGTCTCCTTCAGGTTAAACGGGAGGAAGAGGGGAATGAAAGGTCCCCTGCCCCCTGGGCCCACCCCACTCCCCATCCTGGGGAATTTCCTCCAGCTGGACCGGAAGAATCTGGTCCAGTCCCTGATGAAGGTGAGTTGGGCTTCCTTCCTTCCTTGACAGCCAGCAGCTTCTTCTCGGGGTGCAGACTCACAGCGAGCTTGGTGGACAATGTTGGAGTGCCTGGCCTTTGACCAGGGCTCGCGGGCAGCTCGGGCATTTTTGCAGGGGGCAGAAGTAGCTGGAATACCCAGACCACCCGAGGGTACGGTGCCTCCTCTTCCCGAGACAGAGAGAGGAGGACAAGCCCACACAACGGCCTGGCCTTGTTCATGCTGCCTCAGCCCTTGGACGGTGTCCTCCTGGCCCAGAGTGAGGAAGCTCGGCGATCAGGAAGTCACACAGGGTGGGAGGAGGCATGGCGGTCGTGATGGCCAGAAATATTGATGTCCTTCCATCCTAACCCAATCCTCTGGGTTCCAGTTGGCCACAAAACGTTGACATGGATACAAATAAATGGCACCCACCATTCTTTGTTCCACAGTCCACAGAGGCGGACACAGATGAATGGCTTAAGATATTGTCATAAAGCAGGAAAGAAATTAAAATGTCACGGACATAATCGTTGATGCCCTGATCTTTCACATCAAATATTTTTGGGGCGGTCAGCTGCAGTCAAGGACTTCCTTCCATTAGCTCTCAAGAGGGAATCCGTCGCAGGTGCCTTGGGTTCTGCCCCCTCTGTGAATTTCACCTCTTCCCATAGATGTTCTATTCCAGGAGCCTCCATGCTGGCTGGGGAATGCTGGGAGTTGAAGTCCACAAGGCTTAAAGTTGCCACGGTTGGAGTCCCTGTTCTGGTGAATTCGGGTCACAGCAGGAACCATTCTTGGGTTTTCTCAGACGTTTGTTCGGAGCTCATTGTCCTGCTGGAAGGAGCCCGTGGCTCATGTGGTTAGGGGCTGGGTTGGAGGTGGGCAAGCCTACGTTCGAGACCCCAGTGCTGCTGCTTGGTGGGTTGAGCTGCTGTCCCTAGCTCTCCCTCTTTGATGGGGGGACATGAGAGTCCCACAGGCAAGGGCGATGTCCCTGGCTAATCCCGTCAACCTGGAAGCCCCTTGAAGGGGAGTGGGGAGCCTGCTGGAGATGTCCGGCACCTGGGCTTCCTCACGCAGAATTACGAGCCAAGGTGGCGCAGTGGTTAAATGCAGCACTGCAGGCTACTGCTAGATCAGCAGTTCAGCGGTTCAAATCTCACCGGCTCAGGGTTGA